TTACTGGCTTCTCTTGCTTCTGCGTCTGCAATAGAGAATAGCAAAAACCCACCTTTTATCCACAAGTTCCTCAGATGTTGGATTTGCTCCTCTCCCCTCCAGCTTCACGTCTTGACCTTAGAAAGAGACGTGTGGATTAACTCCTGAGAGGCACATCAGTTTATTTTTATTCATTTATTTATTTATTTATTTTGCTCTTATTTTAATGGCTGAGAAACATGGGAAGAATGCAAATGGTTGAATGCCTTCTTTGATTTGCCTTGTTCCTGAGCATAATCTGCTAACCTGGCAGGCACCAGGCAGGAGCAGAACTGCTGCTCCAAACTCTGGCCTCTTTGCAGGTGGGTGGTTGCAGTTGGTGTGTTGGCTCTGGGGAAGCAATCAGCCCAGAAAGCCCCATCGTGGTACGGAACGGGGAGCTGGAGGCACTGCGGGGCTGATCGCTTGCTGCTCACGTAATGGGACTTATTCTTTTAAGCAGGGATAACCTGAAATCATGAGGCTTTCCACCCGCATCTGAAAAACGCACAATGGAGCGTTTACCCTAAAAACAGCACAAGTGTGGCATCTCTCCCCTCCCCAGAGGGACAGACTGAGCGACTGCGAGAGGAAAACCCACGGCAGCCAGCAGTGAGGTGAGAGCTGGGCTGCAGTGCTACGTGGGGTCTGTCCTCACCCGGGGAGCTGGGGGAGGATTCTGAGGAAGTGTGTTTCAAGCGCAGATGGAAGGGCTGGCTGGGGACATAAGAGAGGAAAGGGTGGTTTTGATTGTCATAGATTTGTGCCATAAAGCTTTGAATAGCTGGGAAAAGGCTTTAGGAGTGAGTCTAAATAATTTTACAATTCTGGCACAATATGAACGTTCTGTAAGACTTGCTTTGCCCTGCAGGACGCTGGGACTCAGCTTGTGCTCCAAGCTCTGCAGTCACAATGTCCCCTCCGCTCACCTCGGACCTGGGCTACGTGCCCCCTGATGGTGGCTGGGGCTGGGCGGTGGTGTTTGGAGCCTCCATCTCTGTGGGCTTCTCGCACACCTTCCCCAAAGCTTTCACCATCTACTTTAAAGAGCTCCAGACTGTTTACAGCATCTCCTACAGCCAGCTTGCCTGGATCACATCCATCATGTGCGCTACCACCTATGGGGGAGGTAAGTGAAGCAAGAGCTCAACCTTTCCTCATATGGGATAGGAGAATGTATTTTTTTTGAGAACGTCCTGGGAAAGTCATGATCTAAAACAAAGCTTTTTCTGTGGATTGGCAAAAGAAAGAAAAGCACCTCTGCCAAGTAATTATTGACAGCTTGTATGATGACATCAGCTCTTGTTATTTCATTGGAAATCTTGCTATGCGTGGCCATAGGGAAATTGTTTTAAATTTGGACAGTTACTGCAGTATATTTGGTATGATAGTTTTTGTTCTGTTCCTATTCTTTACTGTCTTTTAAAAAATAAAAAAATAAAAAATGTTTATGGCACCCATGATTATAGAGAAGACACTGGGAAGTGAAACCTAAAGCTCTGTTGATGAGCAGGCACAACATATATACGTGTAAATCTTATGTGTCCAACCTGCTGGCTTTATGGTTTTGCTGCCCTCTTTTTCTTATGTTTTAATTACAAATATATACACGAAAAGAAGATTTCTTACCTATATATACTAACTATATTACATATTTTGTATGCAGCCCCAGACAATTTCTCTTCATTCAATGAGGTCCCAGTCAGATATTCCTGGTGTAAATCTTGAGTTTGTATATAAATGTGTTTTTAAATATTCCCTAATTCTAGTGCTACAATCTTGCTGTCAATCATTAAGGGATTAAATTTTAAACTGCTCTCCAGAGGAGCCTTTTGAATGGACAAATGCACCCCTCTATCACTTCAGTTAAATTGTCGAGTGTGTGTTCCTGGGTCTCAGTTGCATCGATATCATTGAGCAGCTGTGTTGAGAGGGATGCTTGCCTCATGCAGATGCCGAGTATCAGTCTACTGCTTTTATTTGAGCTGCTGGTATGGCTCTTGCTGTTAATAGTTAGCAGAGGGGCCACCTTGTGTAGGTTGCTGGTAGCCCGTGAGGTGCAGCCTCTGCTTGGCTCTTGGTGCTTTTTAGTGTGGGTTGCAGGGGTGAAATGTGGAAAGATTAACACCTAGGCTGTGCCAACTCATGCCTGTTTTCTGCTCTAATGAAGGACTGTTAAATACAACTTGTGGCTGGAGGGATCCTCTTGGTGCCCATCCTTCATAGCAGAGTTGTTTGGGTTGAGCACTGCAAGAGTGGGACGTGCATCTTGTCCATGGGCTGCACACATATCATGTGCTTTAGGAAATAGCTTTGTGTGGTGATTAAAAAAAAAAAAAAAGAGTTCCTTTCACATGCGCTCTGTCGTGGATGAAGGCAAAAGGAGGACATTTCTGGAAGGCTCACTTTGCCTTCACACATTGCCTTGCCAGCACCCAAGTCAACGTTGACTATGGCAAATCTGCATCTTGACTCTCTTCAGATGTTGTTTTCAGTAAGAGGCGTTGACACCTCCATAAATCTGACAGCAGCAGCATAGTCATAGAAAAGGGAATCGTATGAAATAACAAGAGATTTAGGAGCTTCATCCTGGAAAACAAATACCTGAACAAGTAATTGATTACTCATTTTGATCTTCCTTTCACACATGAGCATAACATAGAGGGCAATTCTGCAGCACCCACTGAGGCTGTGTTGGAGGGAGGAGGAAAGCAGCAGCAAGCCTTGCCAGATGGATCATGGATGTGCAAGGGATGCACAGGGAACCTCAACGATATTGGATGTTGTTTTTGGTTGAAATTTTGACTGCACTGAAGACCACAGTCGCAGTGCTCTGTATGGACAATCCAGGTGATGAGTGTGTCTTGGAAGCTGCTCTACGTGAGGTCATGTTTGTGGCACAGAGGGGTTATTTGGAAGGTCACTCTGCAAGCCCAGGATTACAGCAAGCTTCAGCAAACACTGCACTGGACCTAGTGTCTCCTCTCTTTGATCTCATAGGGTGAAATGGATGTACGGTGTCAAAAGTTCAACAAGCTCCTACAGAACAATCCATGTAAGACCTTGAAAGTTAATACTAAAGCATCATGCTCGATCTGCTGGACAACGGTCAGCCAGAAGAGCAAAGAAACATGGAAAATGCAGACACAGGAGCCTGGCTGCTTTCACCTACAGTAACACTATGTTGCATCACCCTGCGTTAAGAGCACAGGGGCTGATCTGCAGGGATGTAGCACCCAGCTGTCCATACTGCCCGTTGCACAAATAACCTCTTCCCTTGGTTGATTCTGTTTCTTGCTTCCATGTTGCAGTATGGGAGGTAGCAGGAGCAGCCTCGTCTTCGGGGCAAGGCAGAGGTGCCTGCTCCTATGGAGTTTATATGGGTTGCCTCTCAGGACACTACGGGGAGGTTTCTGGGAGCAATTGCAATCAGTCAGCAGGTGAGGCAGACTGGAGAAAGATGGGACATAGCTCTAATTTTACTTCCCCAATGCTAAAGGGCTTTTCTTCACTGCATGCTTACCTTGAGCAAGGAGGTATGCACTTGTCAGCCTGGACTTGAGGAGATCTGAACCCCACATCCTACAGTGGAGTCCCCGTTGCTGTCAGTACAAATGAGTGACATGCTCTGCATTGATCAGAGTGTGACAGCACCTCCAGCACAGTCTTCCACCCTAGCTGTTTTCTTGCCTGTTTGTGTGCATGATTTGAAATGCCACTCAGCTCTGCATTTGGTGACATTTAGGAAAAGCATGGTGTTTGTGTTATTTTTTTGTTTATCATTCAAGGCTTGGCATGGCTGGACAAGGGTAGATGTGGCACTGAGGGATGTGGTTATTGGGCATAGTGGAGGCGGGTTTATGGCTGGACGAGATGATCTTAGAGATCTTTTCCAACCTTAATGATTCTGATTCTATGACATCTGCCACTGATGTTAATAGCTGAACTCTGCATCTTTGAGGACTCCAACTATGTTGTTTTTTCTCTTATAACAGATTTTCCAGACATATCAGAGCAAAGCCCTACTGGGATTAAGATGTAAATGAGACAAAGATGCAATAGCAAAGGAATAATTTGCTTTAATTCCCCAGTGAAAACATTCCAGTTATTAGATTTAAATTAATTGTCGCCATCTTCTTACCAACACAAATGTTTCTGTTTGGGCTACTGATTAAAACCCTGAAACAGGGGAGAAGCAGAAAAATTGATGTCACTGTTGTGTTTAGGTTGTGGTTTTTGGGAATTCAGTGCTTTAGTAGGATGCTTTGCATATATGGTGGGTTTTGCCAAATAACTAGCTATATTAGGATGGATTGATCCCTTAGAAAACAAAATATTATTATAAAAATAAATGCATTTGTGTATTTTTGGAGGACTGGGGTATCTCTTTCATGAGACACTGTGCTGAGGAAGGTACCAGTGTTGTGTTTGTGTCCCCAAGGATAGCCCTTTGGTTGTGCAACTAGTGCTGCTCATAATCTCTTTCATAAATGGAGGGGCAGTTTTAACCTGTGTTATTGATTGGTCTTCACTACTACTGCATTTTGTTAGTAAATAGAAAGTGACAGCAGTACAGCTTTGAGAAACACAACCATGTTGTGGGAAGGGAAACCATGGGCACTGAAAGAAGGGCAATTACTTCTCCAGGTGCTCTCCCACAGCAGAGAGAGGGACAGGTTGTTGTTTTTTTTCTTTTTTTCCTCTTTTCTTAATGTGTTAGCAGTTTCTTAAGCCTTTAATTGACTTCAAAAGGCTCAACGAGAGAAAAACATTGTTGATTTACAGAGCTGTAGCTCCCACCTCTGACTACAATAGAGCACCTTGAGCAAAAGGCTCCAGGTAACACCCTTTCTAAGTACCAACCTGGCCCACAAAGAATGGAATGGGAGAATGGTTTGGGTTGGAAGGGACCTTTTAGGATCATCTAGTTCCAACCCCCCTGCGAAAGGCAGGGACACCTCCCACTAGACGAGGTTACTCAAAGCCCCATCCAGTCTGGAAAAATGAAAAGAAATGCTTTCCATTCTCTGAAGAGCCCACATTTTTTTACTTTTTTTTTTTTTTTTTGAGGGGAGGGATAAGGAAAACCCACAGGTGGCCAACACTGGTCACTCTTCAGGCTTCAATAAGCAAAGGACACTTGATTTAAAAAATCAAGACTTAAAATATCAGCAAGGACTGCAAGGAGTGCAAAATGGGTGGAGGAGGAAAATCTGGGTAGACAGGGAGCAGATGCAGCCCTGGGCTTGTTCCCAGCCCTTTTCCCCTTTGCCCCTTTTCTCTCCTCAGCTCTGGAGCTGAGTTTGCTGGGAATACAATAGCTATCATATATTTACATGGAGGATTGCAATAGGGAAATGAGTCAGTGGAAAAAGTATTTTGCAATTTTAATCAATTTTATTGCTGCCTGCCAACAAATTAACAAACCTGCCTTGCATCCCTGTGGATGCAGGAGTGGAGTTCGGCCCTGGGGCTGAGCTCCTGCCCCACATCTCCCTGCATTGCAAAGAAGCCCTTTTTGCTCTCCCCAGCCCAGGATTTCTGCTGCAGGCTTGGTGTTGGAAGAACTCCCCACCTGCTTTCCCTCAGATGGTTGCATTCTGCTTATGACCATCTCATCAGAGCAAAAACACCAATGCAAAAAGGGATGGTTTTCAGGGATCTTTAGAAATCATTTGTTCCCTTTCCAGTATCTCCTGTAGCTATGATTTCCTGCTCTAGTTCTGTTTTTACATCCAGTTTCTGTGGACTTTTACCCAGAAAATGCCATGCCAGTGTTTGCTGCAAAGGAAATTCATTAAATTGCACTAAATTTAGCATTTCTGCAGAAGGAACCTCTTTCATCTCCCAGCCCAGACCGCAGTTGGAGCTGTGCTGTGCCTGGTTGGACAAAACCATCCCATCCCCACGTCCCCTTGTTCAGCTGCAGACAGGGCTTTTTATACTGGGGAGGTTTCACTGTCCTCTGTGAGGGCAGATTTCATGTTCGCAGGGCTGCACCATAAAAGCAGGCTGTGTGAATGCCTGCAGATCATAAAGTGGTGCTGGGCTGCACCACGACAAAATTCCCCAGGTCAAGGTGCTGTGGCCCCACACTTGGGAGTCAAGGACT